CTTCATAAACATGCAGAGGAAATGTTGACTGCTTCTTTCCCCTTTATCTGCTCTGAAGCCCAATTCTTGGTCTGTGCTGTCCTAGGTATGTGACCACGAACTGCAGTGCCAGTGTGAAGAAGGATGGGCGCCACCTCACTGTAATGACCCCACAGCAAATAGATGTGAGTTAATTCAGGGGGGCACAGAATTTGCATCACAACTAGAGGTTATTTTGTCCCTGGGATGAGTGGAATGTCCTAATAACATTTGCCACCAAATCTCCAAAGGCTAATTCTGGGCATTTTGGAGGTCTTTCTTTTCTCAGTGGATTTTCTCGGTGGATTTCTCAGTGGATTTTATAGCAAATGTACCCCTGTATGATTTCTTCATCAGTAAGCAAGAAATGGTGGAGGGAACTCTCTTTAGCTGCTACCAATTAATGGGTCAGGGGTATCTGCAGGATGTGGTTTAAAAAAAAAAAAAAGTAAGTTGGCAGCTCTAAGAGTGTAATTGAAGCTTGGCCTGTTTTTATGTGCATCACTACACCCATAAAAATGGGTGGCGCTTCCATCATACCATCGTAGCCACCAATTTATATTTTTGACCACGCCCTGTGGACGTGTAATGAATACCCTTGTCCTATCTCCAGAATATTTTTATTTTGGAGGTTGGAGAAAATGGCAGCTACCACTGGTCATTAAGAGTTAAGGCTCTATTTATTATTTTTAAGAAAATTAGTGATACGCCATCATGGCCCTTCCACAAATGATAAATCTGCTCCTCTATGAGCAATTCCATTTTATCATAGAAATAATTGTATTAGTCATTTTCTGTATCCAAAGCAATTCCCTTACATTCCCTTATTTTGATGTTCATAATCACCTCTTAGGTATTTTTTTATTAATTCCATATTGCAGATGATAGAGAATCCTCTCTAAATGGTTTAGCCTCAATTCATACAGTAGGAAGCACCTACATTAATTTTGGACTAAATTATAGCACGGGAATGGGAATTTATTCTAATTCTAGACAGGTTAAATAATCTTAATTGAAATTAGGGTTTGAAATCTCAGTTTTTATATTGTTATATATCAGTTGGGTATTGTTAACTATTAGCAAACTGTACTTTTATTGGAAGGGCTATTTTTTGTCTCATTATGCACATGAAGGAGAAGAGAAGAAGGGGGAAATAACCCTAACCCTAACCCTAACCCTTGCTGCAATTTATTTAACCTAAGCCATTTAACCAAGGGCAGCAAGATTGCATTTTTTTCCCCCCAAGTATGACAGGTATCCTGACAATTATAAACAATTTTAGTAACTGTTCACCATGTTTTAAGGTACATCAAATATCCACTTCACCCTATAACTCATCTCTTAACTAAAGAACAAAATCCAAATGCCTAGTCATTCATTCCTTGTCAGCAAAAGTCCAGTAAGGGTTACCAGAAATAACTACTTATCTATTTTAACCTTAATCATGTAAGCCAACCCTGTAGTCCTTTCCTGAACTTTTAACAATCTTGATTTTTAAACCCTTCAAATGATACCCCAGAGCTTGTTTTCTTTTCATCTTTTTTTGTCCCTTTTCGAATTTTTTTTCAAAACTTGAACAGAACTTTTTTGTACATCCAATAAAAAAAGCTTGTCCCATTTTTGTTCTGTTTTGTTTTGGTGTCCCTTCTCAAAAATCCTTCAGGACTTTAACAGACCTCTTTTGTATATCCAGTAAGAAAAGGTTATCCAAATCACTTTTCTGATGTAATACTTGTATATCACCTTTAAGTATTAAGTCATCAACCACTTTGATTTGTATGTCCAGTACATTTTTTTCCATATCCTTCTCATAAATTGTCACATTTAGATCCCCATTCAAATTAATTCCAAACTTATCAGGTGCAGCTTGTTCTTCTTGTTTAGCATCATTAACATACCATCTATCCATAATATCCAATAATTTCAGACAATTGTTCAAAAATATCAAAATTTCCACTGTTAAAGTATTTCACTCCACTCTTTGTTAACCAGTCAAATTTATGTATTCTTCTCCTTCAATTGTAATCTTTATTTTCTTCTAGCGCCCATTAGTGTCCAACCTTCAAAATCCCATCTTATCATGTTTTTTTCTTAAGAAAAGCCAAAAAATCAGTTTCCCATGGGAAGAATCCTTCTAATTAATTTGTTTTTGCTTTTTTAAAACTTTGGTTTGCTTTTTTATTACTTTGGAAACATTAAGACTCTTCAGAATGGCAAGTTTTACAGCATTCACTGGGTAAGTCACCTTTTCCTTAGAGAAAGATTTGTTAAATATGATTTTAAGGATTTGGAAAAATATTTTTTGAATTAAACAGCAAAAGGATGTTTAGAGTGTTGGTTCTGGAAAGTTAACAATGGGCTAAGGCTCCAGATGGTCTTGGAATTATAATTTTAAATTAATGGGCAGCAAAATTGTGATTACCCTAAAGCTACCTAGTGGTAAAAGTCCAAATATAGACTTCCTAGATCATAGTTTAGTTTCTTAGTTATCCTGCTACATCCAATTGCATGACTATCTTGGGAGACAGATTAGAATCAACCCTTTCTCAATCCGGAATTGTTAGCATGGGAGTTGTAGTCCCAACACAATTAGAGGTCATGGATTTGGGTTAGGCTGTGTTAATCTTAAAAGATGATGACTAGTTAAAGACATTCATGAAATGAGGTTTATATTCCTGGTCTTCCTAGGTTAAATTTGATGCCCAGAGTTGGTTCAGAGTTGGGTGGCACCTAAATTTAAACAAACAAACAAACAAACAAATAAATAAATAAATTCTAGCCAATTCTCAACAGTGGCTCTTAGGGAAAACTCTTTTCTTGTGTATGAGAAATGCCAGGGCTTGGAACAACATGATTTTCCATTGATCATCTCCTGTGTTTCCATTGTGACTCCATCAATATACAGGTAGCCCTTGAGTTACGCCTATTCATTCAGTGACCATTCAACTATATGCCAGTGCTGAAAAAATGGAGTTATAACTGGTCCCCGAAGTTACGCCTGTTGCAGCCCCCCTGCAGTCATGTGATCATGATCTGGGCACTTGGCAACCCATTTGCATGTACCCCATGATCATGCGATCTCCATTTGCAACCTTCCCAGTTGGCTTCCCACAAGCAAAGTCAATGGGGAAGCCAGCCGGGGAGGTTGCAAGTTGCTCTGGTAAGTCTCCCCCACCCACCCTGACTTTTCTTCACTCAAACACACTACATCCTCCTTCCCCCCCTTTGCTCTCCCACATTGTAATGGAAGGAGACTGGTATGGGAGATCCAGGCTATCAGGAGAGAGGTAGCGCATTCCAGAAAGGGGGACAAGGCAAGCACTTTCTCAGTCCACAGCAAGACCGTGAGAAGAAGAAGAGGTTTAGACTAGCCCCTCCCTAGAGTATCACGGGGTATATCCACTAGTTGCTGTAGTGTAGAGTTAGTCTAGCAAGATTCTGTCTAGAGGGTGTAAGCAAATAAAGGAACTGTACTGGACTGAACTGTTGCATCGTTGTTCTTGGGCTGAGCCTGACACACATGCACTGTGTCCTCCTTCCACCTTTGCTCACTTGCACACACCAGCAAACTTCTGGTTGTCCATCTGGTGCATGCAAGTGAGTGAAGGAGGGAAGGAGAGTGCTGGTGCATGTGAACAAGCGAAGGGAGAAGGGAGGCCAAGAAGCACCTGAGCTGCTTGCTGGGGCTGCTTGCCACCCTGCAAGACAGGGTGCAGGGCAGCCAAAAGGGCAGAGATGGGGGCAGAGATAGGTGGGTTGGAGGAGTTAGAGGCAGTCCCTTACCTTACTAAAGCTCAGGATTGGGTGGGACCAAGCCCAGAATGGCTTGGATTGGGGTGGGTACTCACTTAACGACTCACGATTCTCGATTAACAATGGTAACCAGGACTGCTGGGATTGCAGTTGCTAAGTGATGTAGTCACATGATGTCCCGCTTTACAACCGCATCACTTAGCAACAGAAATTCCAGTGCCAATTGTGGTCGTAAGTCAAGGGCTACCTGTAACTTTAAATCTATTCATAGCCTTTTCTCTTTTTCCTTTAGATATCAACATCATTGTTGTAGTTGTAATAGTAGTCTTAGTAGTCATTGCCATCATCCTTGCTGTTCTCTTCCACTGCTCCGTTTTAAAGAAGAAACAAAGTCAAAGGTGAATGTTCTTTTGAATGTTCTCTGCTAATTTTTTTTAGGGGTGGATTACCAGGTGAGCTGAGTCCCATATAACAGCAATGGTGGGTTCTCCTGACTGAATGGAGAGGCCGAACGTAGATTGACTTGGAAAAAACTCTGTAGGACTGAATATTCAGTTCCAGAAATCTCTCTGGCTGAAGTTACAGATTTTGACTGAAAGAACTGCATTATATATAGAAAACAAGTTCCAGGATATCTGCAGGGGACTAGTTATCTCAACAGTCAAACAAAAAGACGTATTTTAAGATCATACAGAATCTGAACCATTAGTAGAAATATTGGGAGTGCCAATTCTGATATCCTCATCATCCTCATCATCCTCATCATCTAAATTTGTTATGTCTGCCTCATCAGTGTATGTCATCATGTAAATTCTTTGTAATTTAATTTAGATGTTTCACAGGACCCTTTGAACTAATGCATAATAAAGTGGGAGGGAGGGAGGGAGGGAAAGACAGACAGACAGACAGACAGACAGGAGACATTTCACGTATTTCCATGTTTACCTTGACTTTGGTCTTGGGTGTAGTTCGGAATTCTCTCCTCGTTCTAATCTTCTACTACTTCATGGCACCCCCCACAAAAGCGTAGCGGGAGCCACGAATCCTGCCTTCTCTGGCCCCG